GGGGGGGGTCTGGGATCCGAACCCCGCGATCGCGGCCCACCGCGCGACCGTGAGAGAAAGTTGACCGGCTGGGCGGCTTGTTCCGCGCCCGGCCCGCGCGAGGTAGAGGTGTCTGTCTGTCCGTCCGCGCTCCGTGATAGCCGGGGTGGGAGATCGAGTCGCACTGCCGGGTCGCGTGGGTCAGGGCTCTTGCCCCACCCTTCCACGGGGACACGAAGGTAAACGTCGCTTTGGTTTCCCTTCTCTGTCCTGCAGCCACCGCCCAGCTTCCTTTTCCTCCTCTTTCCCCGTTGATTTTTTTTCTTTTTCTTTTCTTTTTTTTTTTTTGTGGGGGGGGAACCCGAAAAACGGAGTCTCTTTCCTTATGCAACTTCCTCGGGCGCCGTTTGCAAGGCCCTTCCCCCCGCCTTCTGCATCCCTTGGCCCGCTCCTTTGCCATCTCGGGGCCACCGCCAGAAACATGCATTTGAGATCACCCAAAGTACCCAGGAACAAAAATAGATTTTAAAAAATTGTTCTAAGTTAAAGGAAACTGAGACGAGAAATAAAAACCCGTGTGTGTGTGTTTGTGTGTGTGTGTGTTGAATTTTTATCTAGGTTTTCGTAGATGGTTGGTTGTGATGTCTTTATTGGTGTGGGGAGCCCTGGAGGCTTTGTACTGGCTACCTCGGTCGCGTGGATTTTTGCGCAAGTTTTTAGAAAAACACTGACTCGAGTAGAGAGCATTTCTCCGGAAAGTTTCAAGTGTAGCAAAATAGCGAGCCTGCAAAACTGGCCGAGGGGGACCTCTAGTGGTTACAGTCGTCTTAAATTCGCGAGGCAGAGAGCAAAGTTTGGCCTTTACTTGTAGCTACGCAGTCCGTTTAGACGTGGAAGTAATTAGAGGACCCGAGTTAGCAGCTAGATGTGGGAACGGTGCTGATCAGAAATAGAAAGTTTGTAAATCAGAGGACAATGAAGTGGGAGTTTTCGGGCCCTGTGATTTCCGCTCTTTCTTGCTTACATTAAAAAATCCTTTTATTCTGAGATTTGAGATCGGCATACAGTAGATTAAAGAAATTTGTTTTTTCATTCACTGTTTTCCCCCACTCTAAGGAGTCCTGACAGGTAGTTTAATTTGGAACGTTAAGGAGAAATCAAAATAAAACATGCTTAAAACTGCAAAAAGTGAAAAAAAAAAACTTTAAATTTGTTTTTTCTACGAGCCTGTCATTTTGTTCTCTGATCGATGTAATTTCAGGTTAAAAAGTTATTCACTAACCTACATATATACTCATAAAATAAATATTCCCGTTGTAAGAATTTTGATTCACCAAGTAAAAAGTTATTATGGGAATACTTTGTATAATTTATGATTTAAATGAGTTGCATACCTATTTCCCAGTGTGTATACTGAAAGGGATCTTGAATTTTAAAAGTGAAAACCAGAGAAATGAAGATTGTGTCAAACCACTCTTGTAACTGCCCCCTGTCATCATACAATGAGAGAGACAGGGCTCACCTATATAGCCCAGGCTGGTGTTGAACTTACATCTTCCTGCCTCAGTGTCCCTAGTGCTTAGGTAGCACTACTCTTGTTTTCAATGAGGAATTTTGTGTGAATTTAGAATATGGGAATGATGTGAATGATTCAAGTTAATTTCGCCTCATGTGGAACTGGCTGACTTTATTCTAATACACAGAGAGATGTCGTGTGAAATTATGCATGTGGAGTTTGAATTGGAGATTATAGATGTGAAGGCTTAAGGAGAGGGCTTTGATTTTTTTATTTTCTTTCTTTTCCTCTTTTAAAATCAGTGCTAGATCCTTAGGAGAAGTCTTGGGGTGCACAGCAGTTGTGAAGGCCGCCAGACGGTTCTGCCTTTCACCACCGCCTCGAGGTAAGAGTCACGTGTTGCGACCAATTTCTTTTCTTATACACTAGGAATGCTGAACACTGCATTTGCAAATCAAGGAGAGTGTGTGTCAGGTTTAGTAGGAAAAAACCCCCTAAGTTTGTGGGAGGTTCTTTGAACCTGTGAACAAGTAGACACCAAGAGTCCTTGAAAAATGAGGAAAGATGAGATTTGTGCTAGGGTACGTGTGTTTGGTGTGGGTGCGTGGGGAGGCCAGACATCAGCTGGAGCTGTACCTTGCCTTCCTGTATTGCTCACCAACTTTTTTTTCTTCCTGAAACCTGATCGCTGGCTTTCTCTGAATCTGGCTCACTGATTGGCTAGATTGACTAGCCAATGAGCTTCAGGGCTTCTTAGGTTGCCACCCTCCCTAAATGCTCAAGTTACATACAGATGAGGGTGTTTTTGTGGGAGTGCTCAGGATCTGAATTCAAGTCTTTCTCTTCATGTTTTTGTGGGTGTCACTTTTGTGAGCTCTCTCCCCAACACCGTGTTACTGGATTATTTTCTTCTTGGTGGGGGGGGGGCGTGAGTGGGAATGTGCATTTCGAGTCAGGGTTTCTTTGTGTAGTCCTGGCTGTTCTGGAATCTTCCCTGTTGACCAGGCTGGCCTGTCACAGAGATCGGCCTACTTCAGCCTGAGTATTAAAGGCCCGTGCCACTAAGGCCAGGCTGTTGTTGGATTCTTAACATTGCAGTGCCCTCTTTTCTACTGAAAGCAATTTCTTCCTTTTGAATTAAGAAAGTGAGAAAACCAGAACAAAGTGGTGTGAATGACTACCTTAATAAATATACAATAGGAAAAAAATAAGAATAAATAAATATACAATAGTAGGAAAGAACCGGGAACTTTAAATGTCTTTGGAGTCTGAGCTACAACTTTGTAGCTAAAATTTATGGCAGTGTAGGGGGAGTTAATTAATTAACGTGTAATTAACATTTAAGTGTCTCCTATGGATTAAATCCAGGAAGGCCTTACTACTGCCAGATACCATGTCTTAGGGGTATAGCATAGACTTGTGAGTTTTTAAAAACATTTCTATGGGGATATATAGTTTTGTTTAGATTCTGCCTAGTAAGATCTCTTTGCTTATCTTGGAGGCTGCTGGCTTAACCCCCAATAAATAATCCAGGACCTACCTTTAGAATCTGAACCATTTGATGGGGGGAACCACAGACTAGAATATCTGATTTCTAGTCTTTAATTTTTCTTTCTCCTTTCCCACTGACTTTCCTGCCTCCTCTGTCTCGAGTTCTAAAGAATTTGCTAATTGGGCTGGAGAGATGACTCAGAGCTTAAGAATCTTGGCTGCTCTTCCAGGGGTCCTGAGTTCAATTCCCAGCAACCACATGGTGGCTCACAGCCATCTGTAACGAGATCTGGTGCCCTCTTCTGGTGTGCAAGCATACTTGCAAGTAGGGCATTGTATGCATAATAAATAAAACTTTAAAAAAATAGCTTGCTAATTCCTGTTTGGCAGAAGCAAAAGGACATGGAAGTTAACTTTCCTTTTAAATTTTATTTAATTATTCTTAGTATTCCTTTCTCTTTGTGTGTGTGTGTGTGTGTGCGCGCGCGCGCGAGCGTAATATTACATGTGTGGCAGTCAGGACATCATTGGGGTTATTCCTTTCCATCTTTATATGGGTTCTGGGGATTGAACTCAGGTTGTCAGGTCTGAGTGACAGATGCCTTTACCCACTGAGCCATCTCACTGGCCCGAACCTTCTTTTTACAAGCAGAGTTAATTATCCTCTGTGGGTCCGGTATGGCTTACCAGTGAAACTGAATAGTGGCCAGAATAAAAGTGATTGTAAACAGTGGTTTATTGTCATTTTCTGCTGTGCACTGACTTAATTAGTGCAGTTAGTAGATTCATAGATCTAGTCCTCGGGCATATGTGGGTGATCCAGCAGAGACAGTGGACAGGAAGAGTCACCAGGCTGTGCAAACACGCGCACGATTCCAGGGAGAGGAGACCCCAGCTTGCTGGAGTGGTCAGTGCAGTACCTGTGTGCTGAGCTGAAGACAATGCTTATTAGTATTGTTTTGAAGAGCCACTGTGGCTGTGGATAGCAAGCTACAATGGAATCAGAAAGCTGAACTCTGCAATCCAATATATCATCTTGTATGAATTACTGGGCCTCCTTCACCCTGGATTTTCCCCCCTGGAAAATGGGAATGTCAACATTGTTCTCTCTCTCTCTCTCTCTCTCTCTCTCACACACACACACACACACACACACACACACACACACACACAAAGGAAGGAAGTTTCGAGACCTGTAAAGAGGTGTTCAAGTGTGTGGTGGTCATTTGACCCTGTCACTGTCAGCAGGCTTTGTGACAAACAAAAGTCAGACTGTTTAGTGTGGAGCCAGTGATTCGATTCGGTCCCTGGCTTTTTACTACGATAGTGTATGTACCTGTAAAAAGGTTTTAGCAGCATCTTTCTTTTATATCACTTTCCTTTCTTTCTTGTTTTTGTTTTTTGAGACAGCGTCTTGGATTTGTTGCTCTGACTCTCTCTGTGTAGACCAGACTGACTTGGAGCTCACAGAGATCCTTCCACATTTGTCTCAGGAGAGTGAGGATCTAAGTCATGTGCCATTATGCCTGGCTTGGTCTGTCTGTCTTTCCTTATTATTTATATTTTTTTCTTTAGATTTATTTGTTTATGCCGTGAAGTGGTGGTGCACACCTTTCATCCAAGCACTCAGGAGGCAGAGACAGGTGAATCTCTGTGAGTTTGAGGCCAGCCTGGTCTACAGGGCTAGTTCCAGGACAATCAGGGCTACACAGAGAAGCCCTGACTCAAACACAGAATAAAAACAAACAAACAAACAAAAAACCAAACAAAGAAACAAAAAAACCAATCAACCAAAACAAGCAAACACAAAACAGATTTACTTATTTTTTATTTATTACTTTATATGTATGTATGCTTTGCCTGCACGTATGTCTGCGTACCACGTTTGTGCTTGGTGAACCCCAAAGTCAGAAGAAGATGTTGGATCCTCTAGAACTGAAAGTGGGTGCTTTGGGTCCACTTGGGTCGTCTGCAAGAGCAACAAGTGCTCTTAACTGCTGAGCCAATTCTCCAGCTCCGGTGCCTTTATTTCTCATGAAAAATTATGTTGGTTGTTGAACGGAGGAACAGCACTCTATCATGCTGCTGGCTACAAGGCCTGAACTTGGTCCCAAATGAATGGAAGGGCTAAAGGAAAGAGATGTTTAAAAATAATGCCTGCTGGTGGGGAGGGTAGGGTGAAGTACGGATCGCTGTGAGATGGAAATCTGTTTACTGTCATTAACATCTTGGTGGCATCGCGTGGTTTTGTCTGGAAAAAAGGGTGAGAATAGGTGACCGGGGAGGTAGTAACGGGAGTCACTGGGGAGGGCAGGGATTTATTCCTGAGAATGACTGCTTTGAAGGAACATTTCAAATAAGACTCCGCCCACCCGTGTTTTCGGACGTCCTTGATATGCTGTCTCACTCATTATTGCTAACTCTCTAAAATCTGGATGGAGAGAGAGAGAGAGAGAGAGAGAGAGAGAGAGAGAGAGAGAGAAGTACTGTTATGCCTTCATCCTCATGATATCGAACCTGACACAGCAAACCCTGGTATGTTTCGGTTCTATTCGTTTTATTTCGTCTCCTTTTTATAGACTATCCAATCAATATCCTGAGTGTCTAAACACTCAGTAGTGAAGGAGAGACTATGTACTTGTCCATTTATTTAATCCTGGAGTAAATGAGAGAGAGGTAGTTCTCGAGTAAACTCCGTGTTTTTGTTGTTGTTGTTTTAATGTTATGCCTATTGGCGCTTTGCCTTCATGCAAGTCTGTGTACTACTTGTGCCTAGGGAGATCAGAAGACATTTTGGAATCCCCTGGAGTTACAGGTGGTTGTGAACCACCATGTGGGTGCTGAGAACAGAACCCGAGTCCTCTGGAAGAGCAGCCAATACTCTTCACCACTGAACCATCTCTCCAGCCCGTGGTATTTTATTTTTAGGAACCATGTGTTGTCATAGGTAAGCTAGCCATGGTTTATGGTCGATAGGTCGGGATAGGGCCATTGTAAGAGAAATTGCTTTATGTGGTGTGTGACAGATAGGCCATGGAGTCTTCTCTCAAGCAGTGTTTTTGGTTTCTGAACCAGTTGCTACTGAGTTTTAACAGTGTTGAAATCTGAGAGGCTAGGGTTTGTTCCCTTGGAGCTCGCAGGCTCTTTAGCCCAGGAGGAGAGATCACTGAGAACTCCGCCAATTGCAGCTGCTGCTGCGGCTGTTCTAGTGTGTGTGGTCACAGTGTGGCGAGTGCACATTGGGCCATGAAGAGAACACATGCTCTAGGTGTTAGAGAAGTCAGTGAACTTGGGTGCTAACTGGTGATGTAAAATGATGTTATACACGAGACAGTATGTATCCCATTTTAATTAGTCTCCAGACATGAGTAAGTCACTTTCTAACCAGGGCTGAGGAACACCTCAGTTGTCCCTCTGGTCAAAGTGATGCCTTTTCTTTGACCAGTGTGCTCACAAGGTGAGCTGGTGAAGATCTGCCCTATGACTCTTCCTGTTTGCTACCGTTGGATGGACTCATCTGCCTTAGAATCCCAGGATACTGTATTTAAAATACTTACGTGTTCACATGTGTACAGATTGGTATATGATGTCTTGAAGTTGAAGGGATCTGTGGAAGTGATATTTTTTGTACAGTCTTTATATATATATATATATATATATATATATATATATATCTCTTTATAGATAGATAGGCAATTAGGTAGGTAGGTAGATGGATGATTTGTAAAGTCTTCATTATCCAGTGGAGATATTCTCAGGGGTTGTCTTCTCGCGGTGTGAAATTTTCTCAGTAATGCGTGTGGATGAGAGTCAGTGATTGTTCATGGCTGTTATGCAACAGGTGGAGAAAGGCGGTACCAGGAACACATCACCCTGATGGAGAGTTGAGCTTGATATGGGGTTGAGGAACCCCATTAGGAATCAGGTAGTTTGGAGGAAGGAAAAGAACATGTCCGAGGACCTTGGCTGAAGTTGGGTGATGTTGGAAAGAGAAGTGGATTTGGGACCATGGAGATGGATAACGGGTAAAGGCCCCTGCTGCAGAGTGAGGTGGTCTGAGTCTGATCCAGTCAAGGAGAACTAACTCCAGGAGTTTATCCTCTGATCTCCATAGGAGTTCCACAGCATGTGTGCTTCTAGGTGAGTGCAGAGACACGTGCGTGCACTCATTCACACATGCATGCACATACACTGTGGGAGAGAAATACATGTAATTAAATGGGGAAAAAGTAGTTTGGAGTTAGGAGCTTTGGTGGAAGTTAAAAGGATTGTGTGCACGTTATAGGTAATATGGTAAATGCCTTCTCTAATATCCTTCTGTCCCATATGTACCATAAATGTTTTGTGTTCATTCTGCTTGTTTGTGGAGCATCTGTTTTACTAGGTCAGTATTGGGGAGTAGTCAGGTGATCAGCATGTAGCACTGAATCAATGAATGTTATGTCTACTGAGCTGCAGAGCGTAAGTCTTTAGCCTCAGTGTGTTCGTAATCTAGAGAGATAAGCTGTACACATATGGTAGTGTACAGACCATGATTGCGAGTGTATGGTGGAGATTAAGTCACAGGTACACAGGACATCTCTGAATGTGCTGTTGCCCATGCTGCTGATTTAGAGATGGATAGAGAGCGCCAGGGCCTTCCCTGCTACTTCCACTAGTCTCCAACATTCTGTGTTATTACCTCTGGTTTTGATACAGTGTTTCACTGTGTAGCCCAAGGCAGCTTTAAGTCCAACTGTATCAGAGGTTGGCCTTGAACCCAGAGTACCTCCTGCTGTGTGCGCCTACTTTCACTTGTTATTTACTTTCAAAGTAACTCAATCCTTAGAGATAACTTGTCCAAATCCATTTCGTACTGTTTGAAAGGGGAAGGGCCAAAGAAAATGACAGCATAGGCCTAGGACTGTTTTGTTACCTTTAGACTTCTGATTTTCAAACAGCAAGTTCTAGAATTAAAAGAAAAACGTATTTCCAGATTAATGTGTTTTAACAATAAAGAAGGATTGATGGGAAGAAGGTATTTATCTTTTTATCCTAATCTTTAATTTGAAAATTGAGATTATTGATATTGGGTTATGCTAAAAGGTCCTCTGCCTTGAAATGACCCACAGTATTAGTAACATATTGAAGAAGAGCAGAGAGAGGCTGGGATTGTGGCTCAGTGGTAGATCATTTGTCTAGCATCTGCGAGACTCTGGCTTCAATCCTCTTTAACATAGGAAAAAGTGGAACGTAAGTTTACTGATACAGACTGAAAAGATTATGAAATTCACTCAACAGCCAGGACTGTAAAAAAAAGAAACTTAAGGGACACCACACACACACACACACACACACACTTGTGCGTGCACACACAGGGGGAGGGCAAGTGAACGAGGTGGTGCTAGTGGACAGTAGTGTGGTATCCTAGAGTAAAAATGCAAACACAACCTGGGTTGGAAATATTTCCGCAACAGTGCTTCGACTACCGGTGCTAAAGTCTGATCAGAAGGCCGGGTGTATGGTGCGGGAAGGGAGGGGCCCTTTGCCTTCTTCGGGGGTTCAGTGTTGCAGTGGCCACACATACCTGCTATGTGAGTGGTTTACATCAGACAAGTCTTTAGAGTGGCTTAGACACTTGTCATCACATGCGCTGATTTAGGGGGTAATGAGTTGTTCAGATTTGACCGCGTCCCCTCCCACCCCCCACTCCTGCTAAGTGGGACCATACCTTTATATTGTATTTAGTTTCTGTTTCTAGAATGTTTGAAATAAGGTTGCTTAGCCTGCAAAATCACCTGAGTCTTTCCCCCATCCGTTTCACCATTGACTTCTGGATAGTGAGTGAATTGGAAGGTCTGCATGGCTAATCATGTTCTGGGTGTTAAGTAATCTAAATAATTCAACCTGTTGGTATGGGCTTACTTGGTGGATGCAGCTTCGCTGCTCAATCTGTTGATGGGGAGGCTGCCTACAAATGGTTATCGAGATAAGCCTGGAGGCATGACTTCTGTGAGAGAAAGGAAATCTGGTCAAATCTAATTTATTACATGCAAAAGAGAGATCGAGTGTAAATGCTTCCATTTTGGTTCTGCGTTCTATAAAAACACGAAGCAGAAAAAAAAGAAGATGCTGCTCTTAGCATTTAAAAATTATGAAATGAAATAAAAAGAACAAGGCACTACTTTTAGCTTCTTTTCTTTTAAATCTGAGTTCATGCATATGTAGCGCAAGCGTGGAAGTGTCTGTGTCGGGCAGGTTCTTGTTCTTTTCCTGGCCCTTGGATCTCTCTAATGGGTGTAGGATTTCTATTACTGTCATTCCAGTGTAGTATGTTGATGAGATGGTGGCGCTCTTACGAGCGGTTCTTCTTTGCCCTGCGATGTCTCCTATTCTGTGCATGGAACATGAACTCAAAAGCCTTTGATGGGAGCTTATTAAATAGGCTGTCAGTCCGTTAATGTCGGTTAATGTGATCTTCACTTTCTGTCTACATTTCTCTTTTCTTTCTTGAAAGACATTTTTCATTTTCTGTTCCTCCTTTAGAGGAAGTAAATAGGTTAGGCCGCAGAAGCTCAAACACTTCACCTTCTTACAGGAACGAACTAAGGGGCAGGAAGTTGAGATTTTGTAAAGGTTACCCTGGCGACTACTGCTTTGCATACAGTCTTTATGACAGCACAGGCAGCAAGTCACAGAAATTCTTTGATGCTGTAAATAAGGCTGCTCTCCCTACAATTGGCCAGCTGGGCAAGTAGGGGGAGAATGGCAAGACCGACCATCCTAATTATGGAATGTATATTTTTAAAGGCTTCATAGATCTTACCTGACTCTTGTGTTTTCCGTTGCTCGGGGCCTGTGGATAATAGGAGCCTGAGAGCCTCCAGCATCGCTTCTTGATTGTACTAACGTTTCAGTTCTCACATCATAATAATCTAGAGTTCTGTCTGTTCGCAATATGTGAACCCAGGCCCTCGGGGCAGAACTTATCATCTCTCCAGTACAGATCGCAATTCCAATATGTGTGCAACTCAGAGTTCTTATCAGGCCGGGCGAGTAGAATATCAAAGCTTGTGTCTGTCATGTTTGATTTGAAAGGGAAATTTTTCTTTGTAGCAATATGTGTTTGTTGAGAGATGCTTCAAGTGCGAGTTTAGCTCGCTCTTGTCCATATTGAATAAGCCCATTTAAGAGGTTTGAATTTAACTTCTTTTGATGTGTTCTTCTGACGCTTAAGTGAGGGGAGTTTGTTGGAGCACAAAGCTATGCTTCTACTAAACAGTGAACTAGGTACTTAGCGGCCGAGTTGTCAGCTGGGAATTTTCAGTGGAGAACATGACATGGATGGATAAGTGAATTTCCTCCTGATCTCCCCGTGCTCTCCTCCTCTAGTCTGTTGTTCTGCTACTCCCCACCCCCATCCCCTCTTTCCCCCCAGTACTGATGCTTAAATGCAGCGCCTTACGTAGATGATGCAAGGAGTACACTTCTGAGCTGCATCCATAACTCTCCTTTTTGATTGCTCTGCGTGTCTATGTGTCTGTGTGTCTGTCTGTCTGTGAATAAGTGCATGTGGAGGGCTGAGGACAACCTTTTGTATGTTTGCTCCAGCACCCTTTTATTTGAGACAGGGTCTCTTTTGCCTGGGCCTTTCAACAAGTACACTAGGCATTTAACCAGCCAACCAATCCAAGGGGTTTCCCCTTCCTCTGCCTCCATCTCATCTTGCTGCCTTTCAGTAGGAACCACAGTGTTTTCTAATGTGAGTTCTGGGGATCTGAGCCGAAGTTCTCCTGGTCACAGGGCGACCCTGTACCAACCAATCCATTGTGTGCCCCCCCCTGCCCCGCCCCACTGCCAACTCTGGGTCACCCAGTTGATAATTGTCACACTTACCGTTGAGTCTTTCTGAGGGATTTTAAAAATTAGCAAAAAGTTCTCCTTCAAAGCCTTCTTCTTCCTTGGAGG